TATTTTTAAAAAAACATTCCTTTTTTTCTAAAAATACCAACTCTTGCCATTGTAATCTCAATATGCATGGTTATGAGGCTGCCACCACTGCAGTCCACCATTGCAGGATATTGCGGAGAAGAGTTCGTGGCTTGTAGAGAGATCGTTGTAATATTTCTGTTCTCAATTCTTAAAAATAATCTTAGTTTAGAATAAATCCAGGGCAGTCTTCTTCAGACTTCCTTATTCATTGTTATTTGAACAACGTTTATTATTTATACACCCAGAAATAAATGCTTACGCTGTTGATTTACATGTCTTACAATGTATACTGGGATACAGTAGAATACAAAAAATACAAGTCTTCATCGTAGAGAATAATTAACTGTACAGTACTGATTTGATTTCATTGCAAAAGAATATAATTATTTCTGGTTGTTAAAATGGCTAATAGATTTCGGATTCCTTGCTATATTTGCCCTAACGCTTTACATGCTAGAGTAATGGTACGTTTGGCTAACGCTGAAGATGACCTTCTACGAGAAATCGCTTTTACAAGACGCTTGGAGAATGGAAGACCAGAAGCTCCTATTGATCTTGAAACTCGGATCTGTAACAATTGTAATATAACAATACGCCGTGAAATTCAAATGTTACAGGCTGATCCCAATTGCACTCGACTCAATGTTCTTTCTCATCGTACTAATAATGAATGTTTGGTGTGCCATAGACGTATTAACATTCACAGCTTAAGTTTGCAATCCAGAGTTCATATTTTTGTAGAGCGAAACATTTATGTGCCAGCAAGATACTGTTGCTGTAATGAGCATTTGGATGAAAAGGGTTTATTACCACTCAATATTATTGAAGATTTCAGGTTCATTAATAGACCATACATTTTGAATGGTCCAGAATTACAATCATTTGTTCAAGCGATGCGTGAAGAAATTGTGCATAGCCCTGTACGCAGATATGAAGATGAACGCACTTTAACAGATGAACAATTTGCAGCTATTTCTCGGCACTGTTAGCTGGTGGAGGAAATCTGGACGCCAGTCGTTATCGATGGAAGCACCGTCAGTTTGGGTGCTCTTTGATACTTTCAGCGCTGCTACCGGAATAGCACCAGCTGGTGGTGCCGGCGGCGATAGGGTCTCTTCATACACGACGCCCGGAGCAGATGACGGAGTCTGGGGTTCATCTTCGCTCACCTCCTTAATCAGCACGGACGACGAGCTCTCGTGAGCTCGTGCTCGTGCCTGATCCTCCTCTTTTCTCGTTTCCTCAATGAGGTGTAGGCCGGCGTGCACTACTCCGTTGACGGCGGTACCCAAATCCAATCCTATGAGGGTGGCCGCCACTTTTTCGAACTGCTCCTGCGCGATCTTCATCTTGTAATATTTCTACATGTCAATATCGGTAATCTTTACCATTTGATATTGAAGGTTGGCGCCTATTCGGCTGCTTAGAACCTTCGTCGCTGGGGTTGAAGGTGGGGTCCTTTGCGTCGGTCTCCCAGGTTCTTCGTTCGCAGGGTGTCATTCATCAACGTTCGGTGATTTCGAGATCTCCATCTTTTCCTTTTTACGACGACGGGAGGGGAGACAAGTGAACTTTTTTGGCACGACAGGGCACGAATAGTCAGCGCGTTCTTGCGGGATCGTCCCCGCGGGCGCTTTACCGTGCTATTCGATGGGGCTGTTGTCGTGGTCTTATCGGGGTGATTGAATGGAGTGCGACGAGGGTGGTTTAAACTCGTCGCGTTCTCACTTTGGAGCGTATTATTCGCGGTAACGGCGCGTTCGCTTTCGTGGGGTGTCGCCTTGTTCGATATAGGCGGGTGATTCGTCGCCTCAGCTTCCTCGGTGCTCGAGGTATCGTCGTCATCTTGTCTTCGGGTTTAGTCATCCGAGAAGGTGTTCTCCCGGCCATAATAGGGTTTAAGGTCTTTGGCGTGAACCAATTCTTTGACCTCTTCCTCTTTGTTGGCAAGGCGGTATTAATTGACTCCGAGTACTTTGATTATCACGTAAGGCCCCACGAATTTCGGCGCTAGCTTCGCGGATATACCCTGTGTCGCACTGGATAGTATGCGGTTCCTTTTCCACACCCAGTCCCGTTTCTTGAATCTCGAAGCCCTATGCTTAGCATTGTAATACTTCGCCTGTCTAAGGGATTCGTTAGAGGCGATCTCTCAGGCCTCCTGAATAACGAATGGATTATTTTCCGTATGCTCATTCCATTTCTTTATTCGAAGTAAGTCTTCCTCCTGGGTCCCAAGCTCGTCCCTTTTTGCCTACGGAGAGTGTTCGGGCCTTCCGGTTACCTTCCGTAATTGAGTATAACAGGGTTGGTTTCCATGAAGCTGTGGATACCGGTGTTCACTGCGAACGCGAGTTCAGGCAAGACTCGGTCCCACTCTTTTGATTCCCGTGCAGGTAGAAGGTAATCATCGTCTTCAGAGTCCTATTAACTCTTTCAGTAGGATTAGCCTGGGGGGTATAGGTTGGTGTAAAGGTACGGTTTACCCCCTGTTCCCTCAGGTATTCAACTACGAGCTGGTTCCGGAATTCGGTGCCATTATCGGACAGAAAGATTCTAGGTGTGCCGAAGCGCAAGATCACTCGTTCCCAGAATTCCCTTACGATTGTTTTACCGTTGCCGCTACGTATAGGTATACATTCGACCCATCGTGTGAATAAGTCGATGAACACCAATACGTATTCGTGCCCTCGAGGGCTCCTCGGGAACGGTCCGGCAATGTCGCCCACCACAACTTGCCAAGGCGTGGACAACATCCGATCTTTCATAAGTCCGCACGGTAGTCGCTGTTCGACCTTACATTGCTGATAGATCTGACATTTGTGGACGTACCTTCGGATATCGGCGTATATGCCTGGCCAATAGTAGGACTGAGCGACTCGGGTAAAGGTATTCTCTCGCCACAAATTTCCGGCGGTCTCATTGTCGTGGTTTTCGAACAGAACAGCTTCTCGGTCTTGCGGTGGTACGACAAGCATCCAGGTATCCTCGTACCCGTATTCATCTCGGTAGTCATTGTTGGGCCGTTGGTGGTACATCACTCTGCCCACTACCTTCCAATCTATATATTCCTCCGGATTGGCTTCGACGCGTCGGAACTGTTCTGAGTACCAGGCGTCGTCTCTTTCTTTAGGCTGGTCTATCGAGCCGATTTCCGCCTTCACGGGCTCGAACGCGCGCGACAACGCAACAGGTAACATGTTGTCTGTCCCTTTTGCGATACTCTATATCGAAGGTATGGCCTTGGAGTTGTAGAGCCCATCGAGCCAGACGTTCTATGGGATTTTTCAAATTACACAGCCATTTCAGACTGATGTGAACTGTTACTACTTTGAATCGGTACACTTCTATATATGTGCGGAACTTCTGTATAGCCCATACGACCGCCAAGCATTCGCGCTCCGTGGCAGAGTAGTTCTGCTCCACCGGGTTAAGGACTCTACTAGCGTACTCGATGATCCGGTCTTCGTCCCGTACTCTCTGAATCAGGATGGCGTCGCTTCCCGTAGCTCTAGTGTCTGTCTCCAACACGTACAGTCCATCGGGTTCTGGCAATCCGAGGCACGGTGCGGATGTCATGAGTGCCTTAAGTTTGGCAATAATTTGCTCTTGATCTGGTCCCCACACATATTTGCACTTTTTCCTTGTTAATTTCGTTAACAGTTGAGCGTGAGTGGCAAAATCACTCAAGAAGTAGCAATACCAAGAAGCAACCCCTAGAAAAGTACGCAGCTGTCGTACGTTTCCTGGTCGGGGTTACTCCATGATACAGCGCACCTTTTCAGGGTCGGGTCTGATTCCCCCTCGGTTTTTCAGCAGTCCCAAATACTTAGCCTCCGGCTTGTAGAAGACATTCTTCTCTCGATTAATCGAGAGTCCGGCTTGGATTAACCTATCCAATACGGTTTTAAGATGACGTAGGTGGCCTTCAAATCTGGACGACACTACGATGATATTGTCCAAATAGGCGAAGGCATAATCGCCAAGCTCTGAGCCGATTACGCTATCTATCAATCATTGGAAGATGGTGCCGGCATGTGGGAAACCGAATGGCATTTGCATGAACTGGAAGTGACCCAATCCGGGCACGGTAAAGGCAGTGATGGGTCGAGATTCGGGTTTGAATGGTATTTGGTGATACGCGCTATTAAGATTGAGCGTGGAGATATAGCGTGCATTTTGCAAGCGTCTCAATATATCCTGCATTAATGGTAAGAGGTACGCATTTGACTCGGTGACCTTGTTGACCTTCCGAAAGTCTATACAAAATCGGTACGAGCCATCCTTCTTGCGTATCATTACCATCGGGCTCGACCAGCCGCTATTCGCCGACTCAATCATCCCTTGGGCCAACATTTCCCATACCAATCTATGCATTTCCTAATCCTTGCTTAAAATTAAATTCGTATTTCCAGAATAATTTCGAGCACGGTGAGTTTAATCACAACATTAAAATCCGATTACGTGCTATCGTGATAATTCACGAGCCAGAATAAGATAGCTGAGCTTAGCTAAAATTTTGATCTCGGACACACAAATATCAATCTGATTTGTCCTAGGTAAAATTATCAACTGTAAAATAAGTTGGCTCATTTTCTTTCGGAGTGACACTCCTGCAATATTTAATTTGTTATAAAACAAAAATTTAGTAGTGCCTGGCTCCCATAATTCGGCATCCCGTATTTACGTCGGTGCTTCTACATTATATTAAATTTCTTGAGCAATTTAAATCGATTTGCCCTAGTAATCATTTTAATTGTAACCATTTATTTCGTTCTAAGGCCAAAAGTAGCGTGGTAAATGTTTGTCGGTAAATAACCATGTTACAAAATATTAAACGATAAACATATTTTATCAATCATAAGTAAGTTCGTACAACATTGATTTTTTGGTAAAGCGATCAGTTGACAAATGCCATAAACTTGAAATTTTATTACTTAGTTCACATAATTTATAAAAAATTAATTAATTAAACTTACTTATATACTTCTCCTAACATAATATCTAAACTTTGAAGTTCAGCAAAAAGCTTGCATTTATCAGTCCATACATGAAGCTCTTGCACTAATTCAGGAACAATTAAAAAAGTCCTCCAACCACGAATTTTTTTGCTCTTCAAAATATCCCCGAAAATATGGTCACCAATATACAAAACATCTTTACCTTTCGCACCTATCATTTCCGTGAAGACATCGCATGATCCACCTGAATATACTTCGTCTGCAAATAGAATAGTGCTTTTAATTTTATAAATTACTTATATACAATACATTTCTGGAAAATTTTATTCTATATAAATTATTATATAATAATGATCTCTGCAGCCAATCTTTTAAACTATAGAATGGTGATTCTTCATTCACTTCTAGTGAAGAAAAAGTTATCTAGGTAGAGTTATTTATGGTACAAAATTTTAAAATACTCAATATTCGTTCTCTTAACACAAGAATTTTCATCTCAAACTTTGTAATATACATAATTATTCTTCACTATATATCTACATCTAATTCATCAGTTGCTATCATTAACTATATGGCTCAAGACATACGTTATATCAAATACAGACACGTGTCTGAAACGATGACGAATCTGAATTCAGCCGCTTGTATCGTAGTACGTAGAATATACTAGGACGAGACAAGCTTAATATTTTGTGTCAGAAATTATCTGCGGTTATTAAAAATTGAGTAACATATTTTATCTTTAGCGCCGTTTTCGAAAAAGGTAAATGTGATGTGAAAGTACAGTAGTCCTCAAAATTATTAGGCACCCCTGATTTCGCTTTATTTTATTTAGGATTTTTAAGCTTTACAGAGCCTTGGAGGTTTTAATTTTCTAGTAGGTATTCCAAATATTTTTTTAATCAAAATTGGTGTTTTTCTAAACGAAAAAACGTAAATCCGATGTAGATTTGATCCATTACAAAATTTTCATGCAGATTTGAATTTAAAAAGTAATATTTTTTGGAACAATGAAATATCGTCGATTTCGTTGCACTTAAAACACTCTACAAATGTTGTATCAGTATATGATGGCATGATTCTTCTTTCCTCATATTTTTTCAACTTTCAGCTTCAAGTGATGAAAATTTCAAATGGCTATGTATAAAATTGTTTAAACCACATAAAAATAATGTCTAATGTTTAGATTAGTAAATCGCTAATTTTATTGTATTTAAGGCCAATGTTTTTCAAATACCACAGTCATTTTTAAATTTACTGCACATAAATTGTAGGAAAATACATTTTCTATTCGTTTTAAACTAATTGGTTTTGAAATAAAAATATTATAGATATTCCAAAATTTTCTTTACGATTTACAGAGGTTAGTAGAGGTTTGGAAGTCACGATATGAGACTTCAAATTCTTTTCAAGCAAACTCCTGTTGACTGTTTGTCTAGACATTTCAAACTTTAATTCTAGATATAATTGACTTTTAATACTATTTGATGTTATAGTACGATTTTGTTTGGCTTTTTGAATGATAATTCTATAAATTCGAGAACTTGTTGCGCGCGGTCTTCCTGTATATTTCTTATTTTTCACCGTCTTGCTTTTGTGGTAAGCAGTAATAGTATTCAGTACATAACATCTACTTATGTTCAATAATTTAGATATTTCAGTCTGGTTTTTATATGCTTTGAACAAATCAATAATTTGCCAGTTTTTTGTTTCGGGCACTGTTTGCGTTTTCGGAATGGATGAAGGTAAATGACTCGGTGCACGGATAAGTTAGGTAGCGATATTTATTCACAAGACTAGAAAACTTCTATGATACAATCAATTTGGATCACGCGGTAACACGGTGTGCGAGTTGTCTTGCAGCCATCTTCTGAATTACTTCAGTCGGTAATGAAGGAAGAGACTCGCGAGGTAACAATTTCTGTTTTCGCCGGTGCTGTCGCCCGTCGGTGGATACTGGAGTCGATGAAACTCCCACAACTGCTTTCCTCCCCATAATTATTTTTAAATAAAACCTACAAATTCATTAGTTCAGTTGACAAAAAAAAAAACAATAGACGAACATAGAATAAAATATGTCAGACTTATCTAAATTTTTTATCGAACGAAATAAATAAGGTATGTAAAAATATCAAATATATTGTTATAAGAATGACCTCACTTTTGCCAAAAGATGCAGCACGACGTGTTTTACAAGGATCTGAAGGTAACATTCTATGACGTTTCCTCTTTATAATACCCAAGTATTGCAGAAATCTTATAAAAATGTAAAGAAAATTTTAAAACATCTATAATATTTTTGTTTCAAAACCAATTGGTTTAAAACAAATAGAAAATGTATTTTTCTGCAATTTGTGTACAGTAAATTAAAAAATGACTGGGGTATTTGAAAAAAATTAGTTAAATGCAATAAAATTAGCGATTTTCAAATATGAAAATTAGACGTTATTTTTATGTGCTTTGAACAATTTTATATATAACCATTTGAAATTTTCATCAGTTGAAGCTGAAAGTTGAAAAAATATGAGGAAAAAAGAATCATACCATCATATACTGATACAACATTTGTAGAGTGTTTTAAGTGCAACGAAATCGACGATATTTCATTGTTCCAAAAAATATTACTTTTTAAATTCAAATCTGCATGAAAATTTTGTAATGGATCAAATCTACATCGGATTTACGTTTTTTTGTTTAGAAAAACACCAATTTTGATTAAAAAAATATTTGGAATACCTACTAGAAAATTCAAACCTCCAAGGCTCTGTAAAGCTTAAAATCCTAAATAAAATAAAGCGAAATAAGAGGTGCCTAATAATTTTGAGCACTACACTAAGATTGTAATATACAATACTCTAGACAATTTTTGATTAATTTTCTAGCAACATGCAATTGATATGTGAAATATTTGTATAACCTTGACAATTTCAGAAATCTGTTTTTCCGTTCACATTACTTATACTGCGAATGGTTAGTACTACAGTCTAATTGCAGTATGAGAAGTGTAAAGGATAGTCGCTATATTTGATTGTAAATACAACTTAAGACTTTATTTACGAGGTGTGATCAAAAAGTAAGGTGAATTTTTATTTTTCTCAAAAAATATTTATTTATTCATCAATTTTTATTTTATCTCCTTCAAAGTAATCCCCCTCGGATATAATGCACTTGTGCCAACGCTTTTTCCAATCCTCAAAGCATTTCAAAAAATCATTTTTTGTGATCTTGTTTAGTTCATCCTTCGATGCCGTCTTTATCTCCTCAATCGTGGCAAAACGCCGTCCTTTCATGGGCCTCTTCAGTTTTGGGAACAAGAAGAAGTCACAGGGGGCCAGATCTGGGGAATACGGTGCCTGTGGCATCGTTACTGTGTTGGTTTTAGCCAAAAATTCGCTCACAAGCAACGATGTGTGAGCAGGGGCGTTATCATGGTGCAAAAGCCAATTTTTATTTTTCCACAAATTCGGACGTTTCTGGCGGATTGCTTCGCGCAAATTGCGCATAACTTGCAGGTAATATTCCTTATTTACTGTTCTACCCTGTGGCAAGAACTCATGATGCACCACGCCCCTGCAGTTAAAGAAACCTGTAAGCAAAACCTTTACATTTGATCGAACTTGGCGTGCTTTTTTTGGTCTTGGTGATCCAGAATGCCTCCACTGGGACGATTGAGTCTTAGTCTCGACGTCATAACCGTATGACGACGAACGAGGTTCGTCGTCGGTGTCTTCTCGGCCTTCTTGGAAGAGTTTATACCACTTGTAAACATTTTTTTGGCTTAAAGTAGACTCACCGTATGCCACTTTCAGCATTTCAAGTGTTTTGGAACATTTGATTCCATTTTTCACACAAAATTTAATGCAATTTCTTTGATCCATGTTTTTAGACAGCAGCAAATCGTGGAGCACGCAAAACACTTCTAACCTTGATGCCTCTCACAAACAAACCAAACATACTCGAAAGCTGAGATTTGAAACTTATGTTCTAGACGAGTGTACCGACATAACCAAATAAAAAAGTCGAAGATCGAACGGACGTAGCCCGCTAAATTTCAAAATTCACCTTACTTTTTGATCACACCTCGTATATGTTATTCTCGCGGACAATGGAGTTATGAATGTTCCAGCTACTGGACAACCTACTCGCTGTACACTACGTGAGTGTTACGTCGCGAACAAGTCATATTATTTAATAGGAGTAAAATTTGAATTTTTATGAAAGGAGAATTCCCTTAATAGTCATTTAATAGCTGATTTTATTGTCAGTGACGCACTTACCCCTTCTGTGTTTCACCCTTTATAGATTAGTTTTTATGTATTTTGTACTATAAAAGAGGACGCAAAGCGATAGTAATACACAATCTGTATTCGACTTTGTAAGACTGCGGATCTTCTGTAATTTGAACAATAAATACTTAAACTCTATTTCTGTAATAATTCATTATAAACCAGTAAAGACTTATACGTAATTCTTATATCTACGTTACATCACTGACTTCTGGCGTACGAGTTTCTGGACCAGTCAAACTACAGGTAAAATTATTTAAATTGTCACTTGTTCAATCAGTGCTTTACTCGTATATTGTAACGAAAGCTCGTTCGTTATTCATTTTTTTTTAAGTTGGGCAAGTGAAGCGCACTCGCTCATAGCAATTGAGGCAGAAGGGGGGAAAAGGCAAAGAAATGAAAGTGTTTAGGGAATTATACACACAACAAAATTCGCATTTAAACAAATCTAATTCAAATCAAATCATAGTTAAATTACACTTAAACGTCGCAAATACCGCACATTAACAAACCGCATAAAGATACGAACTCTTATAATCAACTTTTACAAATCTTAGCCTAATGAACACAACGGTGTTGCTAACATGTCTTAATACTATAGAACACAACGGTATTCTTAATACCTATTACAATATAGAATAAAGAACAAGTTAACTAACTTATCGCGCTTACAAATCTATACGAAATACAACGTGCGCCGCCCGGCAGATCACCGCCTTGACGAAGAACCGACTTAGGCTACTTAACTAAAAGAGAAAGTCGCCCGGCGAGGGATCGACTGGACGATTTTTATTTGAACGATTTATGACGCCGACCGTAATTAGAGCAGGTAGCAAGGCGTGCACACGCCGGCACGTAAACGTTTACAATTACGCGCTGTGCCATATCGTTGAAGAGAGAGAGAGAGAGAGAGAGAAATTAACTTGCGAGACTTGACCTTTGATACTGGAATGGGAGGCCTGGCTGCGCCCTG